GTGTCCCCAGCTGTCGCGCTGTCCCCGCCGCAGCCGCCGGGGGTCCCTGGGCCGCTCGGTGTCCGAATCGTCCGAGGGTCGCGGGGGGGTCTCGGAGCTGGAGCCGCTCGAGGGGCGGGGGTCGCGGGCCGGGAGCCTCTGCCGGAGCCTCCGCTCGAGGGGAGGGGGCGACAGCGGAGCCCCCCCGGGAACCCCCGGCTCCGACGGCAGCGAGGAGGACCCCAACGGCTACGTGACCCCAAACTGTCACCGGGGTGAGGGGACAGGGGGCTTGGGGGTCTCGGATGGGGCTGGGGGTGTCGGGGAGACCCCTGTTTTGGGGGGTGGGGGATCCCATCCCTGCAGCGTTTGGGGTCCAGGTTTAGGGGGGTGAAATCATCATTTCGGGGATGATTTGGGACGGGGGGCTGATCATTTCGGGGATGATTTGGGGCGGGGGGTTCATCATTTCGGGGATGATTTGGAGTGGGGGAAATAATTTTGGGGATGATTTGGGGAGAGGTGGATAAACCCAAGTGAGACCCCTCCCCAAATTCAGCTCGGGGAGATCCCGGGAGGGCTCGGGGTGACCGCGCGGGGAATCGGGGTGACCCCAAAAGGACTCGGGGGGTCCCCGGGAGGGCTCGGAACGGCCCCAAAAGGACGCGGGGGGACCGGGAACGGCTCGGGAGGACTCGGGGGGCTCTGACCACTGTCTCCCCCCCTCTCCCCCCAGACCCCGACCCCGCCGCGCTCCCGGTACCGGACCCGGAGGAGGAGTACGAGTACATGAACCGACGGCCGGGGGGAGCCCCGGGAGCCCCCCAAGCGCTGGAAGAGTTGGGCTACGAATACATGGAGGTGGGCTCGGAACCGGGGGGACCCCCGGGAGCGCCCCCGGGCCGGGCGGGGCGGCGGGAGAACGAGGAGGAGGAGGATGAAGGTGAGGAAGAGGAGGATTACGAGTACATGAACAAACAACCGCGGCTCAGCCGCTCCTTGGGCGGCGACACCGGGGGCGGCCCGGGACCCCTCCCCCGAAACCACGGCTACACCGACATGAGACCGGGCGACACCGGAATGAGGCGGGGGGACACCCGACTGCGACCGGGGAGCACCGGGATGCGACCGGGCGACACCGGAACGCCACCGGGCGACACCGGAACGCCACCGGGCGACACCGGCGCGGCCCCGGCGCCGCAGGAGAATGAGGATGAGGAGGAGGAAGAGCAAGGCTACGAGGAGATGGAGGCCGTGACCGGCCCCCGGTGCTGCCCCGGTTGCCGCGGGACCCCCGGGCCGGGCGGGATGAAGCCCCTGCGGAGTTTGGAAGCCTCGGACTGCGCCTTCGACAACCCCGACTATTGGCACAGCCGCCTGTTCGCCAAGGCCGACGGGCAGCGGACGTAGGGGAGGGGGAACCG